ACCTCTCCCCAGAACCCCGCCGGACCAGGAGAGAGGTCACTCCTCCCCTCCACCTCTCGTCAGGACCCCGCCGGACCAGGAGAGAGACCACCCCTCCACGTCACCTCTCCTAGAACCCCGCCGGACCAGGAGAGAGGCCACTCCTCCCCGCTACCTCTCGTCAGGACCCCGCCGGACCAGGAGAGAGACCACTCCTCCACGTCACCTCTCCTAGAACCTCGCCGAACCAGGAGAGAGACCGCCTCTCTCCGTCACCTCTCTTCAAAGCCCCGCCGGACCAGAAGCCATGCCGTGCTCCTCTGCCCTGCTCGCTCCCGCTATGGCTCGTACGCCGTGTGGGTGAGGTAGGCAGGGGAAGCCGCGTGTTTGCTGATCGCTGTGTTCTTACAACCGGTGCTCCGGCACGACCCCATGCCTGCTTATTATGCATCTTTTGGTTCGTGGCAAATTATGCTCGTGTACGTACTAGTGTCGACACTCCAATTAGGACACGGGCTTTATCGCCCTGCCCATGTGTGCATGCCTGAGATCAGACTCACTTCCGGCGGGACATGTTTGCCGCCGAGGTTTGGCCACACCAGCGGCCTGTGGTTTCCGTCTGCTCTAGAGCACGTGCTCTACACCCTGGCCGGAGAGGGGCCGACCGCGAGCTGCTGCTGTAAGCGGCGCCGAGTCAGTACTGGAGCGGCGCCGGTCATGTGCAGCTGCGCACAGCCGTCGGGCCGCGCGCTAGCGGACGGCGCTGTGGAGCAGCGGCGTCGTCGTCGGCTCCCCATGGCTGTCGGTCAGCCCGCCTCGCTGACGGGCCGGGTCGGCGACCGGTGCGGCCGTCCTCTGTGGAGACTGACACCGGGGACGGGCCGCCGCCTCGGACAGCAAGGCGGCGTCACCGCCGCTACCGGTCCGGGCCGGACGGCACCGCGTCTCGGCACTGGTCAGCTCCCGTCAGCTCAGCTCCCGTCAGTTCGGCTCCCGTCAGCTCAGCTCCCGTCAGCGCAGGTTCCGTCAGCTCGGCGACCATCAGCTCAGCTCCCGTCAGCTCAGGTCCCGTCAGCTCAGCTCCCAGCAGCTCAGCTTCCGCAATTCAGCTCCCCTCAGCGCTCAGCTTCCGTCAGCTCAGCTCTCATCAGCTCAGCTCCCCTCAGCTCAGCTCCCTTCAGCTCAACTCCCGTCAGTTCAGCTCCCGTCAGCTCAGCTCCCATCAGCTCAGCTTTCCGTCAGCTCAGCTCCCATCAGTTCAGCTCCCGTCAGCTCAGCTGCCGTCAGCTCAGCTCCCGTCAGCTCAGCTCCCTTCAGCTCATCTCCCGTCAGTTCAGCTCCCGTCAGCTCAGCTCCCGTCAGCTGACCTGAGGTCGGGTGGCCTCAGGATGTGGATGGGGCTCAGCGGTCGTGTCCTTAGCGCCGCCGACAGTCGTTCTGTGTTCAGTTGCCTGCCGTCGGCGGCGACCCGCATTATCCAATCATTGAGCTGACCTTGGCGGCCGCCGACTGCGGGGTGGCGGACGGCTCCAGCGCGCCCGGCGGCCGCTCCAGGCCGGCTCGGACTCCCGGCGACGCCGCGCCACCTCGGGCGTCGGTGCCGCGGGGCGCCGTCGGCCCGGCCGGCCCTGCGCTGGCGACAAGTCGGGCTGGCGCGTGCCACCGATCGGCACGGCCCCTGCGGCGGCGGGCTGTCCGCTGCCCGTCGCTGCCGAGAGCGGCCGGATGGCGAGTTCGCCGTCTGGGAAACAGACCATGCATGCAGAGGGACGAGTGCGAGCTGTGGACCTCCTCTGTACTGCGAGCGTGCCTAACTTCTGGTCGCCTGCGTGGACACCAGGACTCGGCGGCGACGATAAGAAGGCCGATTACGGTGCTTCCGGGACGCGTGTGAACGTGCTGGACATTCTGGTTAAAACACGTGATATAGCTAAGCGTCCGAATTTTATGATGGTTGTCATCGCTGCCATTCCTCTCTTCCGGGTTTTGTGGCCAAGAAACCACAAACAGAGGAGAGCGATTAACCTTGGCGCAGTCTTGTTACCTGAAAACCAGTTGCGGAAATAGCATAATCGATCGCAGGTCATATAATGATTTCGCGCCTTCGCTCGCTGGGCTCTGTAAGAACACGGCGAGCGATCTGGTGTTTGTTATACGAGCTCAGGAAGAGACATTAGCCGACATGCCGTTACCAGTTGTTTGGGATCGAAATAATCCGAGAGGGTCTGCCTGCGTGCTGTTTTCACAACCGCGGCCTTGCGAGGTTTAATTGTTTCACCCGGGTTTATCTGTATTGTATTTAGCGCCGCCAAAGAACGTGCTGTTTTCACAGCCGCGGCCTTGCGAGGATTAATTGTTTCACCCGGGTTCATCTGTATTGTATTTAGCACGGCTAAAGGTAGGCGGCCGCTTAACTCGGCCAGCTGGGCGTTTTGGCCTTGCTCAGCCTCTCGGCGGTTTGTGGCGAGTGTCCACCCGGCCGCTAACCTCAGCGCCGACTGTACCCAGCTCCATATCGCCCGTCAGGGGGCACGTGCGAACCTGTGGCGTCCGGGCACACCCAGAGCAAAACCGTCCGGCATCACGCTGGGAGTCTCCGTGCGACGATGTCGGCGCTGTCGGGAACGACCCGGGACTGATGACAGAGCGTCACACGAACGGCGCCCTCTCGGGGAGCCGGGGTCGTCTCGGCCTCTGACGGCGGCCAGTCTCGGCCTCTGAGAGCGTCCAGTCTCGGCCTCTGAGGGCGGCCAGTCTCGGCCTCTGACGGCGGCCAGTCTCGGCCTCTGAGAGCGTCCAGTCTCGGCCTCTGAGAGCGGCCAGTCTCGGCCTCTGAGGGCGGCCAGTCTCGGCCTCTGAGAGCGGCCAGTCTCGGCCTCTGAGGGCGGCCAGTCTCGGCCTCTGAGAGCGTCCAGTCTCGGCCTCTGAGAGCAGCCAGTGTCGGCCTCTGAGGGCGGCCAGTCTCGGCCTCTGAGGGCGGCCAGTCTCGGCCTCTGAGGGCGTCCAGTCTCGGCCTCTGGGAACGGCCAGTGTCGGCCTCTGAGGGCGGCCAGTCTCGGCCTCTGAGAGCGGCCAGTCTCGCCCTCTGAGAGCGGCCGGCCGGGCCGTCGCGGCCGGCGTGGGCGTGTTTCGGGTGAGCCGCGGCCGGCGGGTGCGGCTGGGCCCCGCTGCGACCCGTGGAGCCCGGCCAAACACCACCGACCTGCCGCCAGCCGGCGGCGCCGCCGGCCGGAAACGTGACGTCAGCCACTGCTCCGCGGCGGCGGCGGCGGCGGCGGCTTTCCTCCGCGGCGCCGCGCTGCCAGACATGCGGTCCCGGCCGGCACACTCCGCTGCTGGCCAGATACCCTGCGCTGCCAGACATGCGGTCCCGGCCGGCACACTCCGCTGCTGGCCAGCTACCCTGCGCTGCCAGACATGCGGTCCCGGCCGGCACACTCCGCTGCTGGCTAGCACATACGGTCCCGGCCGGCACACTCCGCTGCTGGCCAGCTACCCTGCGCTGCCAGACATACGGTCCCGGCCGGCACACTCCGCTGCTGGCCAGCTACCCTGCGCTGCCAGACATGCGGTCCCGGCCGGCACACTCCGCTGCTGGCCAGCTACCCTGCGCTGCCAGACATGCGGTCCCGGCCGGCACACTCCGCTGCTGGCCAAGCTACCCCTGCGCTGCCAGACCATGCGGTCCCGGCCGGCACACTCCGCTGCTGGCCAGCTACCCTGCGCTTGCCAGACATGCGGTCCCAGGCCGGCACACTCCGCTGCTGGCCAGCTACCCTGCGCTGCCAGACATGCGGTCCCGGCCGGCACACTCCGCTGCTGGCCAGATACCCTGCGCTGCCAGACATGCGGTCCCGGCCGGCACACTCCGCTGCTGGCCAGCTACCCTGCGCTGCCAGACATGCGGTCCCGGCCGGCACACTCCGCTGCTGGCCAGCTACCCTGCGCCTCGCCGGGAGGGTGTCCCTCGTGCCAACACGCTGGGCATCCTGTGTGTTATCTCGCGGCAGGCAGTACGTAGTGCAGCTGTGAATGCCAGCCTGTGGCATGGCTCACGTCAATCTGCGGGCTGCTCTATTAGTGCTCCTTTTCTTACTCAACTAGCATGTCCAAGTGCCTTCATTTCATGGAGAAGAACGTTTTAGTCTGACTGTTGCACATAGCTTCGTCACAGTCATCCACCGAATGCCGGAATCATGACACCATAGTCGGATTGGCTGCGATGGACACTGCTCTGCGCCTGGCAGGAATGCGTGCGGCTGTTTTCCCGGTCGCGTGCTGTCACGTGTGCTGGCATGTTGGGAGAACAGAGGCCCAGGAGCCACTGTACCAAAAACCTGCTGCAACTTCCCGTCACGCGGCGGCAGGGCGGCGTCTGCCGAATGTCCCCCCCCCCCTGCGTGCCGCTCGGCAGCCGAAGGTCCCCGGCTGTGTGGTGGCCGGCGCGTGCCGGTACGCCGTACGCCGCCGCTCAGCCGGCCGTCGGGCCGCCGTGAGCTGGAGGTCACGCCCGGTCAGCGATGCCGACCCCTCGGCCGCTCCGGGCGCCGGCGGCCAAACCTGCCACGGGCCCCGCGCGCCTCTCGGCCGGGGGCCGGGACCGCAGCCAGACCGCCCGGCCTGGCGCGCCCGTCAGCGCTGTTTGCTTACGGCGTCGTACGGCGCTGTTTGCTTAACCCTGGCGGTGATGCTGTGCGTGCGCTTGCCAGAGACCTGTGGCGCGCCGGCGTCAGTGGCTGTGTCAGCGGCGCTGACAGCGGCCGCCGTCTGGCCGACAGATGCCGCCGCCGAGCGGCCCGCAGGTTCGCCGACGACAACGAGCAGCGGCGCCGCCGGCCCGGGCCCGGCCCTGCCGCTGACGGACGGGCCGCCGCCGCCGGCGCCGCCCGACATCCCCGCTGTCCGCCAGACCCCGCCGCCAGGTGAGGACGGACCGCCGCCGGCGCCGCCCGACATCCCCGCTGTCCGCCAGACCCCGCCGCCAGGTGAGGACGGGCCGCCGCCGTCGCCCGACACCCCCGATGTCCGCCAGACCCCGCCGCCAGGTGAGGACGGGCCGCCGGCGCCGCCCGACACGCCCGCTGTCCGCCAGACCCCGCCGCCAGGTGAGGACGGGCCGCCGCCGTCGCCTGACACCCCCGCTATCCGCCAGACCCCGCTGCCAGGTGAGGACGGGCCGCGGCCGCCGCCCGACACCCCCGATGTCCGCCAGACCCCGCCGCCAGGTGAGGACGGGCCGCCGCCGCCGCCCGACGCCCCCGCAGCCCAGCGAGGTTCGAACCAGCAGCCGTGAGATCAGTAGAATGACCGTATTTGTGTGACTGCCCGACATTGGTGCTGCAGACACTGGGCAGGGGGGGGGGGGGGGCAACTAACACTTTAGGTTAGAGGCCCGCAACACATTTAACCTCCTTTAGAGGTAAAGAGGCCCGCAATGCACTTGACCCCTCTCTCCCCACACGCGCGTTGCGACTCCGGTGGAAGAAGACTACAGAAGGTAAAGAAATTGAGTAAATTTAACGAATCGTAAAACTGTTGCTGCAAAGCAGCTGGAGTCGGTGGTAAGCCCGGTTTTGGCGTGCGTATTGTGTTGTTCGACACCGATGGGACGTCGGCCGGCGAGGGCTGGCGACATGCTGAGTAGCCGACCGTCTCCCGAGCGTGGTGTGTGGAGGCACGCGCCGGAGCACCCAGACGTCTGCTGTCCTCCGTCAGACCGGCCGTCCTCGGAGGAGGAGGAGGAGGAGGAGGTCGACACTCACCCGCCCGCTGCCACCCCCGCCCACCGCACCGCGCTGCACCTGGCCGGCGTGACGCAAGGTGAGCAGACCCTGCCGCCAGGCCGGCGGACCGCGCACGCGGCGCGGCGCTGGGCCGGTGAATCAGCGCCGGGTGTCGGCGTCTGAGTCAGAGATGTGTCCACTGTCGCGGTCAGCTACGGTGCGCTCTCTTCTGCGTGGTTCTGGCGGCCAGCGGCTGCTGGTGAACTGGTAACCGGTGTGTGACTCAGGCCGGTGAGTGGTACCCGAGGTGATGCGCTGCTGCAAACGGTGGCCGGGACTCCAGACGAACGCCACGCCCCAGCCCGCTGTCTGTCGCCGCCGCAGATCGCCTGGGGCGTCTGACAGTGGTCCGCAGATCGCATGGGACGGCTCGCAATGGTCCGCGGATCGCTTGGCATGTCTGGCAATGGTCCGCAGATCGCTTGGCACATCTGGCAATGGTCCGCAGATCGCTTGGCACGTCTAGCAATGGTCCGCAGATCGCTTGGCACGTCTGGCAACGGTCCGCGGATCGCTCGGGACGGCTTGCAATGGTCCGCAGATCGCATGGGACGGCTCTCAATGGCCTGCAGATCGCTTGGGACGTCTGGCAATGGTCTGCAGATCGCTTGGGACGGCTTGCAATAGTGCCGGTGTGCGGGCGGAAATGTGTGTCGGCTGTTGGGCTAATTAACTGCCTGGGCCGCTGACAGCTGCTGGCGGGCCGTGATTAACGAGTGTGTGGTGATGAACGTCGCCGCCGGGATCGGACGCTCGCGCGCGCGTGCGTGCGTCCGTGTGCGTGTTCACGGCCTGTGGCAGGTCGGGACTGGTCAGTGCTGCCCCGCGCCGGCCCTCTGGAGCGTCACGGTGGGGACAGCCGCGAGGCGCGTCACAGGATCGGGTGCGGGGGCCGGACTCAGCAACCTGAAGGTACAGGAGTCGGACGTGGTGGTGACGCGCTGTCCCTCGGGTGGCGGCGTCTGCCGGCGGCCGGGCCGGCGCACGTCCCGCCGCCCGCCGCCCGCCGCCCGCGCCCGGCCCCGGGCTGACGGTGACCTGTGGCGGCCGACAGACGAGTCCAGCTCGGACATGCCGGCCGCCCTGAAGGACGCCTCTCCGCTACGGGAGATCATCGAGGCCATGGACGTGGCGTTCCGCGGCCTCAAGACGTCGCTCAGTGACCTGAGCCGGCCCGAGGCGGTCGGGGAGCCGGCGACGCACGGCGCCCGCGGCTCCGGCTCCGGCCGCGGCTCCGGCTCCGGCTCCGGCTCCGGCTCCGGCCGCGGTTCCGGCCGCGGCTCCGGCTCCGGCTCGTTGCTCCGGCAGCACTCCCGGCTCAGCTTCAGTGAGTTCTCGTCGGCGTCCGTGGCAGAGCTAGGATGTGATGTGGAGCTGGTGTTGTGCCGCACGGCCACACGGCCGGGGCTGAGTGCTGTCAAACATTTTGCGCGTGCCGCTCGTGGCATTGGCGCGTTGGCGCATGCCATGGCGCATGGCATTGGCGCACTGGCGCAGGCAGGGCACTTATCTTGGTGTTTGTCTCCGGACGTCCGATGTGCGGAAGTTCGAGGGGTGTACCTGAGGGTCGTACCTGTGGGTTGATGCGAACATGGGGATAATCAGTTAATGTTTAAGGCCCAGATCCTGGCCGTGTCCGGCGGCGCCTGCTCGCTCTGACGCCGCCCTCGGCCGGCAGAGGGCCGTCCGCGTGTCCTGCAAGGACCTGGGCCAGGGCGACTGCCAGGGCTGGCTCTACCTGAAGAAGGAGGGCCGCGGCTTCCTGCACCACGACAAGTGGGCCAAACGCTGGCTGGTGCTGCACGGCCACGTGCTGTACGGCTACAAGACAAGGAGGTGGGCTGGCGCACCGGGCCCGCCTGGCCTGACGGCACCGCCCCGCCCCATCCGGCTGTCGTCAGGCGCACGCACTCTCGACAGCTCGCGCCGTTCCCCGGTCAAAGACACATGGCTGCTTGAACACCAGGAAGCAACCTGGTGATTTCCCTTAGCGTTTGTTTCGAATGGCTGACCTGGTCAGTTGAGCATCTGGCGTGCAACGCCGCAGTCTGGAACCCTTCACATACCCACCAGTACCGGCCGCTCTTCACTGGCTTGCAGTTACATGACATCGCTGGTAGCGGTGTGTGCGTGTGTCGACAGGCGCAGGAGGCAGAGACGCTGATCGCCCTGCCCGGCTACCAGGTGTCGCCGGCCACTGACGTCCGCTCCAAGAAACACGCCTTCAGGGTCCACAACAGAGGTGAGCCGAGCCGGGCCGGTGTAACCGATCCACCGAGGCCGGGCCGTCGGTGGGAAGGCCGCCGCGGCGGCTGGCGGCGGCTCTACTCCGTCTCAGCCGGCCAGCAGCGGCCCGAGACAGCTGGGACGGCCGCGGTGGGACGCGCTGGCTGATGGGGCGGCGTGGGAGGACGGATGTGTGGAGCTGCGGAGACACGTGGGAGCGCTAGGACACAACACCGGTGAGGACCGGGCCTGGCCGGGCACCGGCTGGGGCCGACTGGACCTGGGGCGGACACGTCCAGGAGTGCTCACACCGGCTCACAAGGTCACACCTCTCCCTGCTCATCAGTCGCATCTGTTCACAAGATCACACCTCTGACCCGTTCACCAGTCGCATCTGTTTACAAGATCACACCTCTGACCTGCGCACCAGTCGCACCCCTGACCTGTTCACAAGGTCATACCTCTGCCCTGCTCATCAGTCGCACCTCTGACCTGTTCACAAGGTCACACCTCTGCCCTGCTCATCAGTCGCATCTGTTCACAAGATCACACATCTGACCTGTGCACCAGTCGCATCTGTTTACAAGATCACACCTCTGACCTGCGCACCAGTCGCACCCCTGACCTGTTCACAAGGTCATACCTCTGCCCTGCTCATCAGTCGCACCTCTGACCTGTTCACAAGGTCACACCTCTGCCCTGCTCATCAGTCGCATCTGTTCACAAGATCACACATCTGACCCTGTGCACCAGTCGCATCTGTTTTACAAAGATCACACCTCTGACCTGCGCACCAGTCGCACCCCTGGCCTGTTCACAAGGTCACACCTCTGCCCTGCTCATCAGTCGCATCTGTTCACAAGATCACACCTCTGACCTGTGCACCAGTCGCACCCCTGGCCTGTTCACAAGGTCACACCTCTGCCCTGCTCATCAGTCGCATCTGTTCACAAGATCACACCTCTGACCCGTTCACCAGTCGCACCTGTTTACAAGATCACACCTCTGACCTGTGCACCAGTCGCACCCCTGGCCTGTTCACAAGGTCACACCTCTGCCCTGCTCATCAGTCGCATCTGTTCACAAGATCACACCTCTGACCTGTGCACCGGTCGCACCCCTGGCCTGTTCACAAGGTCACATCTCTGCCCTGCTCATCATTTGCGCCTCTTCACAAGGCCACGCCGCTTCACCCACCTGTGACACCTGTTCATAAAGTCGCACCTCCGACCTGTTCACCAGTCGCACCTCTGACCCGTTCACCAGTAACGCCTGTCCACAAGGTCACACCTGTGACCTGTTCAGTCGCTGACCGTGCCCCGACGTCCGCAGAGCGCTCCCTGGTGTTCGCGTCCGACTCTCAGCTGGACATGACCAAGTGGATGAACAAGATGGGCCTGTCGGCTATCGCTTACGACTCTGCCAAGGCGTTCACCACGGGCGGCTTCTGCCGACCGGAGCCGGACGGCGCCTCCCTCGACAGTGAGTCGCCACCGCGGGCCCGGCCGGCTGCCGGCCGCGGGTCGACTGAACAGCGAGCCACCGGAGCGGTCCCGTGCGGCCGGCGCCAGAGCTGCCTGTGGTCCGCGGCGTACTGTTCCAGTCGTTTGGGGCGGGCTGCGCTGGCACACGGGAGAAGCTGCTGATTCAGTTTGAGCGGCGGCGTCGGCAGCGGTATGCCGTCGGTGTCGGCGGTGTACCGTCAGTGTCGGTGGTGTACCGTCAGTGTCGGCGGTGTACTGTCAGTGTCGGCAGTGTACCGTCAGTGTCGGTGGTGTACCGTCAGTGTCGGTAGTGTACCGCCAGTGTCGGCGGTGTGCCGTCAGTGTCGGTCTTGTGCGGTGAGTGAGCCGCGCGCTGCGGCTGGCCGCGCCGCCGCCTGACGCCTGGTCCTCCCCGGCAGACATGTACTACAGCGACACGGACGAGGAGGACAGCAAGAAGGGCACGCCACTCAAACGGTCAGTGGCCGGCCACTCGGCAGCACCTGGAGGGCACTCGGCAGCACCTGGAGGGTACCCGGCAGCACTGGGAGGGTACCCGGCAGCACTGGGAGGGCACCGGGCAGCACTGGGAGGGTACCGGGCAGCACTGGGAGGGTACCCGGCAGCACCGGGAGGGTACTGGAGAACACTGGGAGGGCACCGGGCAGCACTGGGAGGGTACCCGGCAGCACCTGGAGGGTAACCGGCAGCACTGGGAGGGTACTGGAGAACACTGGGAGGGCACCGGGCAGCACTGGGAGGGTACCCGGCAGCACCTGGAGGGTAACCGGCAGCACTGGGAGGGTACCGGGCAGCACTGGGAGGGTACCCGGCAGCACTGGGAGGGTACTGGAGAACACTGGGAGGGCACCGGGCAGCACTGGGAGGGTACCCGGCAGCACCTGGAGGGTAACCGGCAGCACGTGTGGCTAGCGGGAGGGCGGCGGTCGGGCGGTCTGGTGAGGCCAGCTGGGACAGTCGAGCCAGCTCAGTGTCGACATACGACACCGGCCGTGTGACGTCACCGATCGAACCAGAGCCGGAGAATTAACAGCTAGATCCCAGCGGGGGTATGCCCTTTAAATGTGCTGCTGCCGCCCTGCCGGTGTTTGTTATGTTCGGGTGGTGGCCGCGGCCGGGCGCCGCCTCCGGTTGCAGGTGGGGAATTGCACAGGGCGTGTTCCGGCGGAATGGGCTGGGACCGCCGCCGATCGCCGGCGGGCTGGGGGTCAGTGGACCTTACCGTGGCTGGCATCAGGCTGCTCAATACGCCCGCTGTCTGTCCCGCTCCCGCTTCCCAGCTGCTCCAGCACGCGCCTTGCCGCCACAGACCTGCGCATGCTCAGTGCGCCTGCAGCGGAGCGAGTCCTGCGCACGTGATGAGCGCTGGCGACGGAGTCAAACTCGGCCGTGTGGCCCGCCTGCTCCGGCGGACGGAGCCATGCGACGCTGCTCCGCGACCGTCAGATTCCGCTGTCTGACCCGCACCCTCTGCCGCCGCCTGACCCGCACCCTCCGCCGCCGCCGGATCCGCCGCCGCCTGACCCGCACCATCCACCGCCGCCTGACCCACGCCCTCTGCCGCCGCGTTACCCGCGCCCTCCGCCGCCGCCTGACCCGCACCCTCGGCCGCCGCCTGACCCGCGCCCTCTGCCGCCGCCTGACCCGCACCCTCCGCCGCCGCCTGACCCACACCCTCTGCCGCCGCCAGGCCGCCGCGCGTGTCTGGCGGTGCTCCGGTGACGCCGTCGCCGACGTCGTCGCTGGACCGGGCGCGTCAGCAGCTGCGCCGGTGGCGGGCCGGCTCGCCGGCACCCTCGGCCGGCTCGGCCAGCTCCCTGAGCTCGCTCGGCTCCGAGCGGCCGGCCGTGCGCAAGAAGCCGAGCCTGCGCTTCCTGGCGCGCGTACGGCGCGACAGCGGCGCCTCGGCCGGCGCGACCGGCGCACGCCGGGCCAGCCAGCCGGAGACACAGCCGCGGCCCCAGGTGAGGCGGCGCTCTGTCGGACGCAGCGGCCGACGGTATGAGCGCCGGCGCCGCGGCGTCGGCAGTGGCGCGGTGCCGGCGACCAGTCCCGGCTGCGGCCGTGACGGCGGTCATGGCATCACAGACATATTGGAGCAGGCCTGTCGTGCATAATCATGTTCGGACGTCATTTGATTGGCCTTGAAAGAAGGCAGACTGCACAGGCAGGCTGTATAATGTACTTCAGAATGAACATTGTATCTTAGCGATCAAGGTCATAGCGTTCTGCAGGAACCGATGGGCCCGTTGTTTTCAGCACGAGGTGGCACGCGCCCAGAGTTCGGCTCCGCTGTCGGATGGGTCGGGCGGCCCACCGGAGGTCGCTCGTCCTCGCCAAGGCACGCCGCCGCCGCCCGAAGCCGAGGCGCCTCCAGTACAGCCGGCGGCCGCCCGTCCCCGCCAGAACACACCGCCGCCGTCTGGTCCCGAGCTCCCTCCGGTCCCTGCCGGCGGCCCCAGCCGTCCTCCGCCGCCGTCGTCCGCCGGCTCTCGTCCGTCGGGACCGGCGGAGAAAGGCGCTCCATCGACGCCGCCGAGCGCGCCGGCTGCCGTGTCGGTGACGGCCCGCTGGCTGGCGTCTCCGGAGGAGGTGCGCCGGCTGAGCCGGCCCGCCAGCCAGCCGGCGGCCGAGGCGGCGGCCGGCCGCGCGCGGCCCGTGCCGCCGCCGCGCCGGCCGCGCTCCCGCGGCCAGCCGCCCGAGTACGTCAACTGGCGCCTGCCGTCGGCGGCCGGCTCCGGCTCCGGCGGCGGCGCCGGGCCGACGGCGGGCGCGCGCCAGACCGAGGTGGTGATCCGGATCGGCGGAGGCGGCCGGGTGGAGCGCATCGAGGAGCGCGAGCGGCGGCCGGCGGCCGCCGCACCGGCCGACGCCCGAGAGCCGCCGGCTCTCCGTGCAGCACCGCGGCGTCACGGCCGAGGGCCAGATCGTGGCCAGCATACTGAGCGGCACGCACACGGTGCCGCGGCCGGCGGCGGCCGCGCGCCGCTGCGCCAGCGCAGAGGTCGACCGGCTGCCGGGCTACATGCGGCCGACGCTGAGCAGCCGGCGGCAGAGCGACGCCCGGCAGCGGCCGGCCGACGAGCGCCGGCCGCCGCTCAGCAAGCAGCGCAGCCTGAGCACGTCCGGCCTGGCGGCGCCGCCGGCCGAGCGGGCCGGCCGCCGCCGCGCCAGCGTCGCCTCCGAGCCTGTGCGGCGACCCAGTCTGGACTCGGCGCCAGCCCGGCGGCCGCCGCGCGGCCCCGGCGCCGGCCGGGCCTCCTCGGAGGGGCCGCCGGCGCGGGACGCGGCGCTGGCGAACGGCCGACCGCGCTCGGAGGCACGCTCGGAGGAGTGGCGCCGCCAGCCGGCGCCACTCGGCTCGCTGCGACCGGACGAGCGCCGCCGCGCCGCCGAGGAGCCCCGCCGACGCAGCGCGCTGGCGCCGGGCGCGGAGTCTGTGGCCGGCGCGCCGCCCGCCGACGCGGCGTCCGAGCGCTGGCCGGAAGCGCGTCCCGGTCTCCGCGGCGCAGCAGACGGGCGGCCTGCTGAACACGGCCGGCCGGCGGCCCGGCTCGCCCCCCGACGAGGCGCGCCAGCTGAAGAAGACGTCGCAGTACGAGTGTCCCGCGTGGTCGCCGATGGCGCGTCACGCCGACGAGGCGCGCATGCGGCTGGCCTTCGAGATGGACCTGGACACGGGCGGCGACGACGTGTTCGAGGCGGCGCCGGCGCGGCCGCGCGCGCCGCCCCGGCTCGCCAAGTCGGCGTCCGCGTCCCAGGTGGGCGCGCCGCCGGCGGGCCGGGAGCGGCCGGCCATCACCATCCAGGTGCCGCCGTCGGCCGGCGACGGCGAGCCGCGCACGCCGCTGAAGGTGAGGCCTCGCCGCTGACGGCCCGGGGTGGCGGGTCCCCGGGACCTGGGGAACCGGAGAACCGGGGAACCGGGACCCGGGGGACCGGGGAACCGGGGAACCGGAGAACCGGAGAACCGGAGAACCGGAGAACCGGGACCCGGGGGACCGGGGAACCGGGGAACCGGGGAACCGGAGAACCGGGACCCGGGGGACCGGGGAACCGGGGAACCGGGGAACCGGAGAACCGGAGAACCGGAGACCAAGGAATCGGGGAACCGGGGGAACCGGGGACCCGGGAAACCGGGGACCGGAGAACCGGGGACCGGAGGACCGGGGACCGGAGGACCGGGGACCGGAGGACTGGAGGACCGGGGAGCCGGGGGACCGGAACCGGGAGACCGGGGAACCGGAAAACCGGAGAACCGGGGAACCGGGGATCCGGGGACCGGAGGACCGGGGGACCGAGGGACCGAGGGACCGAGGGACCGGGGGACCGAGGGACTGGGGACCGGAGGATGGGGAACTGGGGAACCGGGGGACCGGGGGATCAGAGGACCGGCTGACAGGGAGAGCAGCGGACTGGGGGGTGCTGAGCCGCCTCTGGCGGACCGTTTTCTCCCCAGCGGTAAGGACTGCAGTCCATGCTAGCCTGTTGCGTCGTGCAGTTGATGATCGTTTGGCCGGTCGCCGGTCCCGTAATTCAGTGAACTTTGGAACCCGAGTCCACCCGCCTCGAAAGATTGTGCCATTGCGGGCCAGTTTACTCACATCTGAGTCGTATTGCCATGTCGAGCAGGTTGTCTCAGCCTAGGCATCTTACGCGTGCGAGTCGAGGCGGTCACGTTTGTCTGGAGTCAAGTGTGATGATGGTTTTACAGCCTTGATGTGGTGTGTGGTCTTCCCGACAGTTGATGCTCGTTTGATCGACCGTGGATCAAGTAACGACCGCGGATCGATCGTTCCCCGATCGTTACTTGTCAGGCTGCCTGAGTAAAGTCATTTTTAAGACAAGTTGGACTGTTGGCTGTCGTGTGTACCGTTTCTCTGTTACCATGTCTCGTTCGTGCCCACCGCCGTCTGCGGTGTTGTCCCGTTTGCTCCAGGCCCATTTGGTTGCCTTATATATATATATATATATATATATATATATATATATATATATATATATATAAGTACGAGTATACATATATACATGTGTCCCTTCGTTGCCCTGGCCCGTTGCCAATAATAGATCCCGTTTGAGTATGTTTCTCATAGTGTTGTCTATAGGACCCGGTTGTCGTCGACCAGTGCTTAAATTACACGTGTGGAGCTTGTGCGGTCGTGGGCTGGTGAATGGATTCGCTGTAGTTGTGGGTTGGGTATTTGTCGAGTCAAGTGCCAAGGCAGCAGCGGGGCGGCCGGGAGCTTCTCACGCTCGTGCTGCGGCGGTCGTGTGGTGGCCGTGTGGTCCGTGTCCACCTGCTGTGGCGGTCGTGTGGTCCGTGTCCACCTACTGCGGCGGTCGTGTGGTCCGTGTCCACCTGCTGCGGCGGTCGTGTGGTCCGTGTCCACCTGCTGCGGCGGTCGTGTGGTCCGTGTCCACCTGCTGCGGCGGTCGTGTGGTCCGTGTCCACCTGCTGCGGCGGTCGTGTGGTCCGTGTTCACCTGCTGTGGCGGTCGTGTGGTCCGTGTCCACCTGCTGCGGCGGTCGTGTGGTCCGTGTTCACCTGCTGTGGCGGTCGTGTGGTCCGTGTCCACCTGCTGCGGCGGTCGTGTGGTCCGTGTCCACCTGCTGCGGCGGTCGTGTGGTCCGTGTCAGCTTCTCTCCGGGCTTCGGCGTCTGCGTCTGTTGCAGCCTGCCATGGGCGTGTCCATGATCGGGAAGCAGCGGCGCACACCCACCTCAGCGTCGTCGTCGCCGCACTTTGTGTTCCCGCCGGGCCCGCTGTCGCCGCCGGGGCTCAGCAGCGGCTACGGCTCGCTCAGCGCCTCCACACACACGCTGCCCGGCGCCGAGACGACCGGCATCAGTCGGGGCATCGCGCACGCGCCGCCGCCGCCGCCGCCGGCCGGCCAGCTGGCGCCGCTGGCCAAGTCGCAGACGAGTCCACAGCTGGGGGCCGGCTGGGCGTTCCGCGTGCTGCCCCGGTACGGCCTGCAGTACCCGCCCGTCTTCACGCCCGACACGTACTCGCTGGCGCAGATGACGGAGCTGCAGCGGGCCGACTCACCGGCCGCCGGCGAGCGCAGCTTCGCCGACTCGGCCACGCAGACCGAGGCCGGTCGGCCGGCGCCGGCGCTGGCGGCGCCGCCGGCCGACGCAGGTCAGTGGCGCAGCGGGGCGAGCCGATACCTGACCCGATGACTGATGACCTCCGCACGCCTGACCTAACCTGACCTGACCTGACCTGGCCGACGGACTCGGCCGCGCTGTGAGCATATCGGGCGCTCTGGGTGGCGGAGGTGCATGGGGTGCCCGCTAACCAGCTGCATGATGTTCTGAGCTGACGCCAGCAGCGGCCGCGGACGGGCGGCGCCGCGTCGCCGCCGTGGGAACTGCGCCGTATGGGGGCATACCGAATCCAGACTCATATGACCTTTGGAGGGACGAATAGCGGGGGGGGGGGAGGGGGACTCTCAGAGGGAGACGAGGGAACTACTCGGGAAGGGCAGCGTGTGATCGTGAGGCGTTATGCCCGCCCCTCCTCCGGCCACGGATACATCAGGGCTGCCGGAGCCGGCTTACAGACCACAGCCATGCCGTGACTCGAAGATTGGAATGTAGCATATTTGGTTTCCCGTCCGATAGCATATCTTGTCAGCTGTCAAGAACCTAGGCCCCACAGATAAGGCAGGGTCGGCAATGTTACCAGTGCCGCGTCGCTGGATGCTGCCGCCTTCCTCAAGGTCCACGTAGCAGGGGTGCACCGTGCTATTATGAACGATACTGAAGGGAGCGGGAGGAGCGTGGGTGTCTGCGCTCCTGATTTCTGAGAATGCTGAGCATTAACTCAGCGGTGACGCATGTAAACGATCGACTTCAAAATTGGTTTGGACCCACTTCCTTTAAAAGTCTCACTTCCATCACTGCCTTTAAAGAAAAGTTTCCCCGGTTTGATAGCGAGGTGCTCCTTCATCCGTGCCGTCATGGCATCCAATGTTAGCCCTCCACGCGTAATGGCCAGGGATAAGTCCTACGTGTAACGACGCTTCAGTTACGGCTCGTAATTACTACTCATCCGGGTCAACACCCCTTAGTTGTATATTTGTAGCTGAACTGGTACCTCCGTCCATGAGACATTGCCTGCAGACAACTCGGGACACCATTTCGTTGTTGTTGCTTCACTTGTAAGTTTATATGGATTCATTTGTTGCCCAAACATTTTCTACTGGTGTGGGTATTCAACGTGCATGTTGAATGTCAATCTGTGGATTTGTGGTAGTCTTAGTTATCTGAGAGGCATTCATCTGCTGACGCGAATGGTCCGCGCGTGGCTCTACTGGCCTCAGGGCTTACGGCGTGGGGAGTCGCCTCAGGGTCACCTTCCGCATAATGTACCCGCACGCCTCTCTTTCGCTCTCTCCCTCTCTTCGTGCCTACGCTCAGTCCGGGGCCCGGGCCGGACAGGACGTCACGCGCCGGGCTTCTCGCCTGGCTGGTGCGCATGCGCAGTGGCTGTCAGCCCGCCGCCGCTCACACAGATGGCGCCACGGGCGACGGGTCTCGCACTCTGCGGCGGAAGAACACGCTGAAGGGCCGCCGGCGCCGCGGCTCGCTGCGGACGGAGAGGATGCTACACCTGCTGGCCCTGCAGCGGGCCGTCAAGGTACCCCCGCCCGGTCCCGATCCGTCGGTCGAGGTGCTCTGGCCTCTCCCCTCCCGCGGGCTGCCTTTCGGAATGTCCTCTGGTGTCACCCTCCGTTCACGTAAGGGACGACCCGCCGGCCAGCCGCCGACAAAACCCCTGTTTTGCTGCGTCCTGCACCGTCTGCGCACGACCTGTGGTGCTCCATCTGCCGTCTGCCCCTCCCCCGGCTAAGATGGCCCCTGCCGTCCCTCTCCATTCCGTGACGCCCCAGGTCCCCTCCCCTTCCGCCCTGTGGAGACGTGTCCTCCGCGCCTGTGCCCGTCTGGCGAGGTGTTCTGCTCGTCCGCGCACTGTTCAGGCACCCCGGCCCATCTCTCAAAGTACAACTTGCGCCCCCGGCGCCGCCATCGCTGCTGAGGTATCCCGTCCACTCGCGGAGGCCGTCCAGGTAGCCCCCGGCTCCACTGGAAGGGGGTGGGGAGAGGCGGGGCTCTGGGCGTTGCCGAGGTAGCCTGCCGAGGCGTGGACACAGACTGTGTAAGCACACATCTGGCGAGGAGGTGCTGAAACACTGGACACCCGCTCGAGCCGAGACCCCCGTCGTGCGGAGGGGCGTGATTATGCCCGTGATGGACGGCGGCAGATTCAGGGCTCCAAAGGCGGGTGGGGTTGAGCTGGGCGCTCTGAGCTGCTTCGTCCACATAGTACCCACGATAACACGGCGCGGAGGGCCGGCTCTACAGCCGCAGAGGTGCCGCGCGGTGCACACTCACCACCGGCGGGTGCCACGGCAGGCCACAGCGCGCGCCTACCCTGCCTCCCCGCGTGCCCTGCCCAGCTATGGCCGGCCGCACCGACTGCCACGGTGGTTTGATTTAACGGTGCTGCAGGCCGGCAATGCTTGCTGGCTGGCGGAGCCCTGTGCACACCGCTGCATGTGCACGCGAGCCAGACGCCCGGTGTATCCTCCCTGGCATGTGCATGATCTGGGGAGGGGGGGGGGGGGGGAGAGGGGCACGCCCGTGTGGTATACACCCAGCGTGGCGACGGTAGGTTGGGGCGCCGTTTCAAGTGTGTTAGAGCCAGGCGTGTAGTCCACGCACTACGCCCGTTTTGTTATGATTGTCTCCACGGCGTTGCTCGGGGACAGGCGTCTCCTCTCACTGCCGGACGCCGCGTGCGCTGTACCTCCGCGCCGTCTCGCCGGTGGGTCCGGAGTGGCCGCCGTCTGACGAATGGTTGCTTCTGGCGCAGGGGAAGCAGGCGGAAGTTGACGCCATCAGCCAGCTACTGCGCACGCCCGTCACGCGCACCCGGCTGCAGCGCTGGCTGGCCCAGAACCAGGACATCATGGCACCGGCGGCCGGGAGCGCCGGCTCCTCTGAGGAGGGCGGGCCCGGCCGCGGCGGCGGCCGCCGCCGCCGCAGCAGCTCGTCCCGGTCGGCGGCGGCCGACGCCGGCCGGTCAGACGAGGACGGCTCCGACTCGGACACGCCGCTGTGAGCCGCCCGCCGGCCGGGGTGCTGTGCCGCACGCGCGGACGGGCTGGAGACGGAGCGGAGCGCCGCCCTCCGTCCGCGTCGGGACGGCCATGGTAGTCAGACTGCGCGCGCGCCGTGTCCGGCTGGGACGGGCCACGTGCGTTGCCTGGTCGCCCGCTGCACTACCGCACGTTACTGCCACTCCGAGCTTGAGCTTTCCTGCCGATCCGGCCTATATAACGTGTTCAACAACATTATGTATTCGACCGTTGATTTGGTGCGATTTCGACCGTTGAAGGGGCATCGCTATAATGCATATTTAGCCACGGCGCAGCTTTGTCCGTTTGCATCGTAGCAGCTTGTGTGCGCCGCCACGTGAATGTCGGGTTTGGGGGTCGTTGCTTTTCAAAGTCAACCGTGTGCGCGCTTACGTGCGTGCGTTTATGTGTGGCGAGATGGTTCATTAAGAAAATACAAACACTCAACACGGTCCATTTGTACAACGCCAAGACCGTCGACGTCCCTGCCGAGCGAGCGAGAGTCGCAGCAGGCCGGGCCAGCCGCCGGCACCTCCGACAAACAGCTGGCGCGATCACGCCCCGCCCAGGCTTCAGGCGGCCAGTGGGCGCTCCCTGCGGAGCGGCGCGGCAGCGGGCTGGCCGGCTCCGGACGGCCCGGCGCTGGCGACCGGGCGCCGTCCGCACCTCGGCCGCCGGCCAATCACAGCCCCCCAGCTCCGTGTCAGCCGGCCGGCCGCTGGCGCGCAAGGCGCACAACGGACCAATCACGTAACAGCGGCGGGCGCGGCGTGGAATGGGGCCGGCGCCCTCCTGAAGGCAGCCTTTGGTACTGGTGGCGCGGTCGACGGCTTACTGTAACACACGGAGGGGGAGGGGGCTCAGCGTCGGAGTCGGCGACAGGACGGCCGCGGCGCGCCCACTACACGGCTGGCCGGGCCCGTAACGCGGACACCCAACACTGAATCGACAGAGGCGGCGGAGCTGGTGACGCCACATACATGCAAGTCCAACAGGCATGGCCGGTCCACATCCAGCCGATCGTCCGTGTGGAACACGCCAAGGGCCGTTTGAGCAACCACCATCGCCATGAGACTTGGTGGTCATTGTTGCCGGTTTCAACTGGCACACGGCCATAAACAGACGTAACTGTTGGAAACGCGACATTACATCATTCTAGTCAATACTTGTCAGATCAGGGGCATTAAAAGGTGCGTGATCAGGAGCAGCATGGCTAACATGATAGCCATATACGTGGTGGCTATCATGCCAGCCATGGCGAGGCGGGTGATTCGTGCGATCAGATGTCAGAAAGACCCGGCCGCCTCCGGGACGCGCCTAGCCGGCGGCCGCCACAGGCTCGGGAGACAGCACTGAACACTGGACAATGGTGAACTCCCAGCACACCCGGGTAGCAGAACACTGGACAGTGGTTGGCCCTGACACACACATGGGTAACGGAACACTGGACAGTGGTTGGCCCTGGCACACATGGGTAAAAGAACACTGGACGGTGGTTGGCCCTGGCATGCATGGATAACAGAACACTGGACAGTGGTCGGTCCTGGCACACATGGGTAATGGGACACTAGACAGTGACTGGCCCTGGCACACATGGGCAACAGGACAATGGACACTGGCTGGCCCTGGCACATATGGGTAACAGACCACTGGACAGTGGTTGACCCTGGCACACATGGATAACACGACATTGGATACTGGCTGGCCCTGGCATGCTGAAGTAACAGGGACCTGGACTGCCACTGGCACACATGGGTAACAGGACACTGGATACTGGCTAACCCTGGTACGCTGAAGTAACAGGGACCCGGACCGACACTGGACGGTGGCTGGCCCCCAGCACACCGAAGTAACAGGGACCTGGACCGACACTGGACGGTGGCTGGCCCCCAGCACACTGCAGTAACAGGGACCTGGACCGACACTGGACGGTGGCTGGCCCCCAGCACAACGCAGTAACAGGGACCTGGACCGATACTGGACGGTGGCTGGTCCCCAGCACACCGAAGTAACAGGGACCTGGACCGACACTGGACGGTGGCTGGCCCCCAGCACAACGCAGTAACAGGGACCTGGACCGACACTGGACGGTGGCTGGTCCCCAGCACAACGCAGTAACACGGACCTGGACCGACACTGGACGGTGGCTGGCCCCCAGCACACCGAAGTAACAGGGACCTGGACCGACACTGGACGGTGACTGGTCCCCAGCACATGCGAGTGACGCGGCACATGCGATTCGTTTGAATCAGAAGCACTGCTTGAAAGCATGGAACATTCTCTATCAACTCACATCTAAATGGATTGTGAGTTTCCCGGTGTTTCACTATGGTCGGCGCCAGCCTCTCTCTATAGACAATCCGAACCACACATACGGCACTGCCATGACCTCGCCCGCCGCCTCCTGGTGGGCTGGAGACGGCCCGCTTACCGTCACAGACGCCTCCCGCCTGGCTGTCGGCAGCGCACCTCACCTTTTTCTCCTTGTCGTTAGCGTTGGCGTTGGCGTCAGCGGCGTCTGCGGCCGGTGGCTGCTCGGCGCCGCCCTCCTCGCCCCCCTCGGCCGGCTCGCCGTCCACGCTCAGGCCCTGCAGCCGCTCGCGCAGCTCCTTGTTCTCATCCTCCATCACCGTCATCTGGCGGGGAGAGCACCGCTCCCGTCAGCCGCGTCCCCACCACCACCACCCCGGAGGAGGCGTCCACCCTGCAGCCCCCGCGGGCCATCACACCAGAGCTCTCCGCCACTGCCGTCAGCAGTGTTGATCGTCATCGCGCATGTGAGACACGCCAGTCATCTGTCGCCGCCGCCTCCACGTGCCCCGGCGTCCGCCCAACATGTCATTACAGACATCACCACGACACTGACGGAGGCGTCGGACCATCACCACCCGCTCGCGACTGAGGCGCGGCCGCGCGTCGGTGGCGCCGTTACCTTCTCCTTCATCTCGGCGACGACGAGCCGCAGGCTCTCCAGCTCCACCTTGTCGGGACTGGCGGCGCCTAGCGTGTTGCGCACGTACTGCAGCGCGTCGGCCGGCTTCTCGGGCTCCTCGTACAGGCTGACCAGGCACCGCGTCAGCACGTCCATCACGCCATTCTTCTCCAGGTACTTGCGAAACTCCTCGCGCTTCGAGTCTTGTACCTGCCAGCAGAGAAGGTGGCGGGCTCAGCTGGTGCCCAGTGGGCGAGAAAGAGGTGTTCAGCTGGTGCTGTGGAGGGAAAGATGGTGGTGCCCAGTTGCTACTGCACCTGGAAAGTGGGTGGTGCCTGGCTGGCAACTGTGGAGCAGAGGTTGGTGTTCACCTAGTGGTGCTAAAAAATGGGTGGTGTCACTGGCACTCAGCTGATGCCTTCATAAAAGTTGTGCTCAGCTGGTAGTTACTGTTTGCAGAGGGAGTAAAGATGATATTCAGATGGTGCTGCAAAAGGAAGTGGTGCTCATCTGGTGTTGCAGAGGGACAGAGCATGTTCAGCTTGTGCTATAGAGGAAGAAAGAGGGACATGCCAAAATGGTGCTGCAGAGGGCAAGAGGGTGGTGCTCAGCTGATGTCACAGAGTGCAAGAAAAGGACATGATCAGCTAATGCTGCAGAGGGAGAGAGGGTGGTGCTCCACTGCCATTACAGAGAGAAAGGGAAGGACATGTTTAGCTGGTGCTGAAGAGGGAGCGAGGGTGGTGCTCAGCTGGTGTTGCAGATGGAAACAGGACATGCTCATTTAGTGCTGCAGAGGAAGAGAGGACAAAATTATTTAATGGTGCCACACAGGAAAGAGAGATGTTCAGCTGTTGGCATACTGTGAAAAGGGTGGTCCTCAGCATACAGAGTACAGAGTACAGAGTACAGAGTACAGAGTACAGAGTACAGAGTACAGAGTACAGAGTACAGAGTACAGAGTACAGAGTACAGAGTACAGAGTACAGAGTACAGAGTACAGAGTACAGAGTACAGAGTACAGAGTACAGAGTACAGAGTACAGAGTACAGAGTAAGAGTACAGAGATAGAAGAGAGAGGAGAGATATGAGAGAGAGAGAGAGAGAGAGAGAGAGAGAGAGAGAGAGAGAGAGAGAGAGAGAGAGAGAGAGAGAAGAGAGAGAGAGAGAGAGATGAGAGAGAGATAGAGAGAGAGAGAGAGAGATGAGAGAGAGAGAGAGAGAGAGAGAGAGAGAGAGAGAGAGGAGAGAGAGAGGAGAGAGGAGAAAGAGAGAGAGAGAGAGAGTAGAGTGCTTGCTTGCTCAGCTGATGCTGCAGTGCAAGGAGGTGCTCAGCTGGTGCTGCAGAGCTGGGCTTGATTTTAAATTGGAGTGACTGTAGACTGCAATGATAAAGTTTTACAAGTATCCCACCAGCATGCAGCTTCTAACAAAAGTGCCAGCTGAACATACCAAAAGAACTACTAATATAGGACTCTAAACAAAATACCATAGAACTGCTGCCAAATTTATAATGTATGTGATATATCTATCATTATGTATATACTACCGTATAAATAATACACACAATATTCAAACAGAAACTACTAGACTCCTTGTCTCAGGGCTCCAAAAATATGGGATGGGCATTTACAAGTGGGCAGGGGAAATGGCAGTGGGGAAGAAGGTCCATGACCCCATGTTTTTGATAATGTATAATAGCTTTCAGTGATGCATAAAACAAGGTAGCTTCAAAACTAGCAGAAGATTCGTCGATTTCTGATGCATTCCTACGCCCACAAATCTAAACATCATAAGAAGCACAGAAGTAGTGTTACAATGGCAAGTCATCAGAAACTAGGACTATTCTGGCGCACGTACACTCACCACTTTGTAAGTATTCATCTTGCTTCAGCCGAACGAAACCCAAAGAATCAATCAACCAAGAATACCAATGATCTGAAGAATGTCAGGTAGAAATGGTCACTGTGTCCAACTAATCAAAATACGACGCGCACAAACCCCCACCGCGAACAACACGGCCTAGCACACTCAAACATCCACAGACACCCTTTCTTGTTTATAGTAGTGAGACAGTCACCGAGAATGAGTAAACAGGCAGGCAGATGAGGATACTCCTCAAAGGCTAAATCATGCCATTTAATAAAAATGTGACATATTTTTATTTAAAAAGTGTTGAATACGCAGTCGAACTCCAGTTGTGTGCAGAACCACCAAAGTGCATCTATTAGGCGCAAGTTTCATCTCTATAAGTCCCACCTTTGATTCGTTTGTGGCGCAAGGTCCGCGCCTTTCGCCTATTCGGCTCGTTGCCCGTGTTGAGAGGGAGACGATGTGGGTGGGGATTGAGACCATTTTTACTGCTATGAACTGAAGGTTTTAGCAACCTGAAGAGGTAATTACACTATTTTCCATCATAATTTTTCAAATTGCAACGCATGGTTCTCAGTTATGTAGTTGACGGTCGTTATTACTGTTTGTATGCTCAGGTGCTCTCGGTGACACGGATTAGACCGCGGCCCGTTTCCATGGCTGGTCACTGTTGTTCCGAGGTTAGACATTTGTGGGAGGTATGGCTGTCACCAGTTCGCCGATGGGCTGTGCTTAAATATTTTATATGCATGTAAGGTTTCTGTGCTGCAGAATGTTTGAAGTGAAGACTGACACTGAATGGTAATTTAAATTTATTACTTCCAATATTTAGCAGGCATAGGTTATGTGCTACTGTCTTGGTGTAGGGTTGCCAGGATTTGTGTATTTGGACTTGGAACATTTTCTCCTCTGCAACATTGTTATGCCACACATCTCAATTTATATCAAATATGTCTCAAGGTACAATGCTGAGCAAAACTTGGTTCCCATCTGATAATGTATGTACTTAGAAGGCAGCTGTAAAACAGGCATGACACCCCCCCAAAAAAATCTGCAAAAGTCATAGTTTCCTGCTTTGGTTTCAAGTCTGATGTGCCAGAGGGGGCTGCCAGAATGTTTAGGTTGTGGTTGCACAAGGTGTTATGGTGTACACCTGAGTTATACATTCAGATTCTGGGTTTCTGTGTAATACCCATTGGCATGATGTGAAGTTCCATGAATATGGGGATTTACCTCCTATATCTGCCCTCTGACAGATCCCAGTTCCATGAATATGGGGATTTACCTCCTATATCTGCCCTCTGACAGATCCCATTTATATCTTAAATGATAATCATTAACACCACTGGTCTCAGGATCTCATAACATCTCATCTATGCCTTGTTTGACCTTTATCAACCTAGCTGGTCTCAAAACATGATTTTGTGGCTGGCAGTCAGTCAAGTGCTATGCATGCAGTGCAAGGAGTTATCCAACTTTTATTTAGCATGTTGTCCTGCAGCTGTTGCTGAAGACATCAGTAGAATGCACTTTTGGCATCACAGCAAGATAAAGGTATATATGAAATCTGGGACTCCAGTACTAGGCACATAATTGTAGGTGAGCAAATATGTACTACATGGTTTAAGTCAAGTATTCAAATGTTCACATTCTTCTAGACAGGAGTCCATTGTGACAAATTTTTAGTTTTGGTTTCCCCCAGACTATTTAACTTTCCCAGAATCTGTAGTATCCAAAAATTTACCAGCTGGTGTATGATTGATAATAGTCAACATAGTGATTTCCCTGTTTTTCTAGAAAAAAGTGATATGTTTAGGTGGGATCTGTTGCAGCTAGTGCCCAGGTATTTTAGGTGACAAGATTGTGTGCTCCATGCTGTGAATGCATTGGTTGTTATCAGATATGGACCTCATGTCATTGGCCACCCTAGGAATATACTGTGTGCATCTTCTATAAGGTTGTAGCAATCTCTGTGTAAATATGGTATATTTTGGGGTGTGTGGACATCATTGTTTTTGTGCTACTTACATACTTGCTTGCAAACTTCATCTAGCAGCATATCTTAGCATTGCTTATGTGACTCCATTGTCACAGGAACTGTTATAGCTATGGATATGTCACGTAATATGCCAAATGAATATGCCATTGATGTATATTTCTATGATGTGCCTGCAATATGAATATAGTTTAATTTTAAGAAAGCCACCATTATAATCCCCAACCTTAACACAAACATAATTTTTATCCCAGAGAGTTTCAGGAAATCATGGCCAGCCTTTGAGGCCAACTTGACACATCTACAGCTATCATGATGGCAGAGACAGCCCAAGACACTTTGCTGCTTAGAATAAGTGACTATCAACTAATGGGTGATAGAATTACCCTGATGCTCAGCCTAAATTTTTGACATTTTTGATGGATTTAAGTTTGGTTTTTTGCACAGCTGCTAGTTAAGTTTTGATCTTAAGGACAATAAAACACATTACAAATTCAAGCTGTACCAATAGTGAAAATACTTGGACACCTTACCCAAATGCTTGGGCATTGGCCATAACTGTTGCAGTTGCAGGCCTAGGCCAGATGTCAGCCAGTGCCCTAATTGGTCAAATATGGGTGTGTTTTGTGGTGATTGAGCCCATATGCTGTACACAGCTTTTCCACATCAACACATTGACATAGGACATGGTTCATGCTCGGTATGTTCTGAACTTCAGTACAGTGTCAACCTCAAGCCCTGCATGGACAACTTGTCAACTGTTAGTTGTGACTTTGCTGTTTGGATGTTTGGGAAACAGAGGAGGGCAGAGCAGGTCCTCCTCTTCTGCTCTCACATTGGTGGCCAGGGTGATGGCAAATGGCAGCTAACAGCCCAGCTGAATAGGGTCTAGGATCACTGCCATACTGGGAGTGTGTGGTCATCCACATGCTAGTGGCAGTCCCAGCTGGAGCACTGGTGCTGCATGTGCACCATCACCAGGATTGTTGACTCTGTCAATGATTCTTGCTCTGCAGGCAAGGTCTGGAATTAGATTTGGTGCTCACTTAGCATGTGGCAGGTGTTGGTATGCAAGATTGCAGTACATTTGTGTTGTGTCAGCAAAATGGCTGGCTGGCACCAGGAACTTCTTAGCCTGGGTGGCCGTGCCACGCCGGGTAGTGTGCCGGTGGTCTGGGTGGCCGTGCCATGCCGGGTGGTGTGCCAATGGCCTGGGTGGCCATGCCACACCAGATGGTGTGCCGGTGGCCTGGGTGGGCGTGCCATGCTGGGTGGTGTGCTGGTGGCCTGGGTGGCCATGCCACGCCGGGTCGTGTGCCGGTGGCTGAGAGCCGCCCGTCTCGCGCGGTCACGCGCCGCCCGCTGCTGCTGACCCGGCCGTGTGCCTCTGGCCGCAGACGATGTACCGCGGCGGCTACCAGGAGGACGTGCCGGTCATCACCAGCTATGACGACTACGACGGAGACAAGGTCAGTCCCGCGGCCGGCGGGGGTCCGCCGTCCGGCGGCGGGGGACGGGGGCGGGGAGACCCGGACCGGACCGGACCGGACCGGACCGGACCGGACCGCCAGCCGGGCCGCTCGCCAGCGCTGGGAGACGCGCAGGACCGCAGCAGCCGTCGGCTTCCGCGACTCTGCGGTGCCCTTCAGAGCCCGCGCCGGCTGGCGCTGTGCACTGTGCACGGCTGCGGCGTCAGCGTTTGCGCCCTAGGCTTACCGGTGGAATGGCCTCTTATCTGGTGTTGACGTAATGGTCCAGGACTGGACGTCAGGACGTTCAGTACGTTAGTCAGAGTATCCAGATAATGCGTCCTGCAATGCCCGGCCGGTGGGGAAGCCCCGTACTCTGACAGCCTGGGGAACTGCGTCTTATATTGGACTCAGCCGGCTAGCGTGCGATGCGCTGGCGCGGCCCGGGGCTGCGGTCCGTCCGAGGGAGGAGTGCCGAGGGACGGACCTCCGTGTCGGTGGAGTGGAGTTCGGTGGCGCGGCGGTGCGAGCGCCGGCCGCCGGGCCGGACTGGCTTGCCGGCGGGCTCGGCGCGGCCCGGGGCTGTGGTCCGTCCGAGGGAGGAGTGCCGAGGGACGGACCTCCGTGTCGATGGAGTGGAGTTCGGTGGCACGGCGGTACGAGCGCCGGTCGCCGGGCCGGACTGGCGCGCCGGCGGGTGGGGCGCGGTGCCGCGGCCCCCGCCCCGCCCGGCCGGCGGATCAATGTATTGAGCGCGCCGTGCGTCTCCCGGTAACGGGCGGAGGTCGCCGCCGGCCGGCCGCACTACCTGCCCTGCCACTCCCACCCATACCCACGCGCGCTCGGAGTCGCCTCTGAGAGGGGGCAGAACGACCGACAGTCACGTCCGTAGAGGCCGCGGCGGCGTCAGCTGCAGAGGGCGTGGTGCCCGCTCCCCCCCCCCCCGCTCCCCTCCCCCTCAAGGTGAATCATCGTCGTCAGTGCAGGGGGTGCGGTCGGCGCCGGTTGGCTGGCCGGCCGGTTGGCGGACCGGGGCGGACCGGGGCGCTCCGGGGCCACGTCAAACACCAGTACCGCCGTTGGCAGCCGCGTGCCGGTGCTGGTGGCGGCACGCTGCTGCGTCGCTGGCGCCGAATACTGCGGCGGGTGGCGGCGGCGTAGTGTGATGCCCACTGGAGACTCGGGAGGTGCGGGAGACCGGAAGACTGCGGCCGAGCCGTCTTCGGACGCACCACGGCGACTCCTCTAGTCTTTACTGTCCGCTTGGTTGCTTCACGTTTTCGGCCTTTTTGTCGGTCCTTGTCGGTTGTTCTTTGGGGGGGGGGGGGGGGGGGGGGGAGGGCGGTTCCGGTAGTATGCTAGTTGAGCTGCACGCCTGGAGAAGCTAGAATTACGGGAGTAAGGGAAATAGGGTTCGATTCCCCGCGGTACCCGTCCATTCCGCCAGGGTGAGAGGTAGGGAGGCTATGCGGGCTCAGCAGCTAAGTGCGTCGTAAAACCCGAATACCACGCAGTCTTTTCTCTGTCCGTGCGTGGCACATTCGGCCCGATTGTTCTTGGCCTGGTAGATTTTAGTTTGGTTATCGGTTGACTGCAGTGCACACCGCACGCCACCTGTTTGCCGTTGGGTTTATGTCGCGGCCGGCACCTGTTCGTCGTCCGGACGTGTGGCGGCCGGCGAGAAAGTGCGGCGCCAGCTGACGCGCCACGACCG